GCAGTATTACCAAGAAGCTGCTAATTGACACAGGACAGCTCTGAGACCTCTGCAGTTGTCAGGAACCCAACCCGACACAACTGCTACGCTCAGAAAAAAACCCATATATTTTTAAGATAAGAGCACCACTCAGCTTTACAAAGGCAGTTACTTACAGCAAGGCAGGGGCCACGCTGGGGAAAGCAGCTGCAATGTTATAGGGTGCTATTTTATTTCCATTTCCACATCCATTGGAACTGCTATTAACTTTATCCACTGGAATTTCCAGCCGCTCCCGAGATCGCTTTGCCTGACGCAACCTGCTCAGCCTGTCCTGGCTGCACATACAAATGCTCTTGCTTGAAGCCTTCACACCTTTCACTCTTTACATCCACACCTGCAGCGAGCTCTTTACAAGAGACTTTTATACAGCGATGACGTTGCTGTCAGCATAAAAATAGCCCTGCCTGAAAAACCCTCCCGTTACACCGAGTTTGGGGTTTTGCTGCATTTTCCAAATAGTTCCCACCTGGCTGGTTTATTCCAGATGCCTGCGAGTTATGCATGATTAAATGAAATAAACCAAATGCCAGCATTAATTATGAAGCGGGGCGGGTTAGTCTTCACCTGGAGTCCTTCGCCACAAACACTAAACCGCTTAAAAGCAGCAGAGCGGCGTGAGATCTGCTGACACACTGAGGCTGGGTGCCCGGGGCTTGGCCCGACATCCAGCCATCGGCACACATCTCTGCTTTGGGCAGGCCTGAGTCCAGAAGACCAAGACAACCCAAGATTAGACCTTTGGTTTATTACTAATCTGACAAACTAATTGCACCCTACCAGCTGCAAAGCCGCGTTACTCGTTCACCGGGGCTGTTTCCTCAGCAGACTCACACGGGGTGTTAGCAAGGTATGAGCAGCGAAAAATGCTACAGCAAGCGCAGGGCACCGGCAAGTCACTCCAGAGCGTGTGGGTCACTGGGGCCTGGGAAAACATCTTCTGCTGCGTTATACCTACACCAGAACCAGCTGAGCACACAACAGGCTGAAAAAAAGGGGTTGACTGCTAGCTGGGTATAGAGGAAGCGGAGAGCATCTCCCTCCCGGGAGAGAGGATCAAATGAGACATCCTGAGCTGCCCTTGGGGGCTGTAAGAGCAGCCCTGAGGAGATCCAAATGGACCTTACCTTTATCTTCTTTACTTTGCTGAAACCAAATCAACAGACAAGTACGAACTTTTCTGGAGGTCAAAGAGGACCAACTCAACCCACCTCAGGAGCACACTGCCCGGCTCTTCGGAACAGAACAACCCACCCCTGCTCTTCAAACCTTCCTGCTTCTCCATCAACTCAGCAGCAGTAGGTGACAGCAGGAGGAACGACTGCTCTTCTGCAGTATCCAGTGAACCCAGCTTGACTTCACGGAGACGTGCCCCCTACACCAAGGGCTCAAAACACCAGCAGCAACTCCAAGGCAGCTCCCACCAACTTCCCAGCAAGGGCACATTTTGCTCCCATCCACAAATATTGTTCCCTACATCATGGGGCCAAACAACATAACCAGGCTGGAAAACTGGCTCTCACTGACTCTTGGAACCAGAACCAAGGTAAACTATAGCCTCGCTGCAGCTGTTTATTTCCTCTGGCTGAGATGGTTTGGTGGGAAATTGTCTCCAAAAATAAGTTTAAAAAAAGTCTCCAGCCCCCACAGGTACAGACAGATAATAAAATGCTTTTGAGAGCAAGTAATATAGAAAACTACTAGTGTCAAAGTGAATTATTTATAGCCAACGCTAAGATTTATCAGATGTTTCAG